GACCGTAGTTTCTCGTGGGCATACAGAGAGCGTCCGTAGGTAAAAAAAAAACAAAAACAAAACAAAAACAACCACACGCACTTAAAAAGTGAGCTCTGTTGCGTAGAACCAAGATGGGCCTTTCACACCCATCTCACCTGTGGAGAGAGAGCAGGGAGTCAGCTGATGCTGGAAACTGGTTAATGCTCTTGGTTGTGTCTGAAGCTTTGATTTGAGGTATTCCCTGCAAGCCTGATGGGAAGCCAGATGGATTGTTCATGCTGTGAGTCCTGTCATTCTGTGCTCAGTTTGCATCTGCAGCCCTTTTCATGCCTGCGCGTCAGTTTGCAATCAAAAACCGTACGGCTGCAGCACCATTGCAGGGTTCGGTTCAGGGCACATATCCACAAAACCTGTAGCTTGAAACACTCCTTGTTGCAGCTGCCGTGCTTTTAAGCTCTCTGCTTGCTCATGGGGACGGCTCATCCAGTGGTGGCTGGCTCTGGGGCCTTTCACAAGATCTCGCGGGGCTGTCTGAATTCTTGTGCGATCCTGCAGAGCTGTCCCAGTTGCTTCCACAGCTGGCTGTCGGAGAGGGTTTTGCCTGGTAATCAGGGCAGAGAGCTCAAAAGCTCTTTTTGCCTTGGGGGAAACTTGTGTGCATTTAATTTGCGCAATTCCAACCAGCCCGCCTTCAGCCATGCAAGGCTGAAATCAAACAAGTTAAATGTGCGTAAGATGCAATCGTACAGTGGGTGTCCCAATAAATCCATAAATCACAGTTTCCACTGACTGTCATTGCAAGGAAACTGGTCCCTCAGTAAAAGCCCACAATCCCTGAAGTCTCTTGCCATTCAGAGATTGGGCATGTAAATACTTTAAAAAAAAATATTGGAAGTTGATTTTTGGAAAAAACAACAACAGCATTTTGTGAAGACGGGGTTTCAAAGAGTATCTAAGGGATAGATAGATGATGATAGATTAGATAGATAGATAGATAGATGATAGATGATAAATGATAGATAGATAGATAGATAGATAGATAGATAGATGATAGATAGATAGATAGATGATAGATAGATGATAGATGATAGCTAGATAGATAGATAGATAGATAGATGATAGATAGATAGATAGATAGATAGATAGATAGATAGATAGATAGATAGATAGATGATAGATAGATAGATAGATAGATAGATAGATAGAACTTTATTCGCATTAGCCAATGGCCATAGCAACAGTAAAACATTACAGTATACACAGAAAAGGAAGTTTGATATAAGAGCACAATTTAAAGTCCTGAATCAGCAGTCATTTAGTGGCCCTTATTCTGATTGCCCCTGCTATGAACCTAGCCACCTTTGCTGTAATCTGCTCATTTTGATCTGATAGAAGAAAGGACATTGCGGCAGTGGTTGAGCGCCCTGGGATGGTTAGTACGAGTGGGGTGATGATCTCGTCCCTCAGGTCTTTGTAGAGAGTGCAAGACAGGAGGACGTGTGGCGCTGTTTCGGTGCTACCATCTCCACAGGGGCAAAGATGTTTCTCAGGCGGGATCTTTTGGAATCGACCCTCAAGTACTGCAGATGGCAAAACATCCAGTTTTGCAAGTGTAAAAGCACATCTGTATTTTGGGATAATAAGTTTGTGCAGATATGGGGTCAGAGAATCAAAATGGAGAGGTGGAAAATGAACATACCAAGGGCAGAATTTCCTTATAGTGGCCAGGTGTTCTGATGCTCCATATCTTTTAGACGTTGACCAATCAGACTGTTTGCTTTAGTAGGGCCCATAGTGAGTAGGTGTTGTGGGGATAGGCCACTAGAGAGAAGTTTTTGATAGACAGTTTTAAGCCAGGCACTTTTATGGGAGTCTTGAAGTACTAGGGATAGTAAACCGTGGGGGGGGGGATTTGAGTTTGGCGAATTCAGAAGTTAAAAATTTCTTTGCCAAGTCCGTACTTCTACTGAAGGGAGACTTGCCTCCAGTCTCAATGATGCCTTAGAAACTTTGAACAGCTTCCAAATTGCTAAGGTTGTTACCAGTCCAAATCTGAGCCCTGTATAGTAGCCCCGTATATCTAAGGGAGCTTCTGTTTCTCAGCAAAACCTTGCTAACATCTCTTAAGACACAGATGCAGCACTACCGTTGTGGAAATAAAGGAACTCTAGGCTTCACCAAGGCACGGCTGGTATCAACGACAAAAGATAATTTGGGTCTTACAATTTATGTCATAGTGTAAACCAGAGTTTCCGAATTACCGGTCTACTTTATTCTTTGACACTCCTCCTCCATCCCCTTCTTCCCCATTTACAGACACATACATCTTAATAACTTGTACTCCATCAATTTTTGGATGGCACTTTTATTTTTAGTGAACACCCAGTAATTTTTTCATGCGATTGGCAAATTGAAAGGAAGAGGAGGGGGCAGGCAGGGATGTCATTGAGAAGGAACGACAAGGACAGAATCCACCAGTGACGAGTGGAATGGGGGACAGATCAATTAACTCAGCGCCTCCAAAATTATCACAATATCCAAGCCACTGGTCCTTATGGGGTAGCCTCTTATTGTCTTTTGGGTATATTAAAAAAATAGAGCTTCTACACAAGATTTGGGGTGACAGTTGTGGTTTGCTGTTGATAGAATAACAACAACAACAACAATAATTATTTATACCCCACCTTTCCCGGTTCAGAAAACCAGGCTCAGGATAGCTAGCAACAAATTTAAAACACTTAATTGATGCCACGAAAAACAGCATAAAACGTGAATAACTATAAAATCAAAAATCAGTTTAGGGGGGAAATCCATCCAATAAACATTAGATGATCACCAGGGCTAGCTGGCTAAATGAGTCCTATTTGGGCCAGCGAGGAGACCAGGGGAGAATTACCTGTGGGGTCCCAGAGCGGGTAATCTTCATAAAAAGGGGAGGGGGAGGGACGGAAGGGGAATAAAAGATCAAGCTAAGTTCAAATTGAAAGCCAGGCGGAATAGTTCTGTCTTACAGGCCCGAAGGAAGGAGGTTAAATCCTGCAGGGCCCTGGTCTCCTGGGACAGAGCTTCCAGGTTGGAGCCATCACTGAGAAGGCCCTGGCCCTGGTGGAGGATAATCTGACTTCCTTAGGGCCCGGGACCTCTAAACTGTGATTATCCATGGACCTTAAGGTCCTCTGCGGGGCAGACCAGGAGAGGCGGTCCCACATACTGGACAATTTCTGAGCACTTAGAGAATCACAGAACCGTAGAATTGGAAGGGACCCAAGGGTCATCTAGTCCAACCTTCTGTACTGCAGGAATATTTTGCCCAACATGGGGCTTGAACCCATAGCCCTGAAATTCAAAGTCTCATGCTCTACTGACAGTTGTTCCTAGATTGACTAGGAGTTGCCAGGTGTTGCTGAAGCTCCAGCAAAGCTGATGAAATAAATCCTGTTGCTTCTCATCTCTCTCCCACTGAGGAAGTCTGCTGGAATGGCTGCCTGCTGGTGACAGTTGAGGGAGAAGGAGGTCTGATGGAATAATCAGCCTCTGACTACCTGTTTCTGGGAATCACAATTGGGGAGGAGCATTAATTGCACCCAGGTTCAGCTCGTAGGTTTCCTGTGGGCATCCGGTTGGCCACAATGAGTACAGGATGCTAGACTGTCATAGAATCATAGAACTGCAGCTTTGGAAGGGGTCCCAAAAGTCATCTTAGGCCAAGGCTCTGCAATGCAGGAATCTCAGCTAAAGAATCCATGACAATGTTAGGATATAGTTCCGTTCCACCTTTAGAACAGGCATGTGGAGTTGTATGTCACATGTCTGTTTACTTCCAGCACAGTCTGCTGGGATCTTCCGTTGTATATAGCTTTTGCCTATGCTTTTTGCTTGGACATGAAGGGAAGCAGACATGTTTTTCCTTTGTTCTAATGCTGACTAAACGCTTGTAAATATGCTTACATATGCATCTGTCCGCTACTTCTGTTGCAAAGAGTTCTTATCTCTGCTGGCTTGCGTGCTCAGTCTCTAAAGGTCTCTGAGGACTGAGTCGCAGTTTTGATGCTGTTCCGAATTTGCCCGGCCACCGGTTGGTGGGCTAAAGTCATCTGGGGGCCTGCTAATTGCCCCCCGTCTCCCTGGACACATCCCAACAGACAGCTGGCCATCCAAACTCTTCATAAAAACCTCAAATGAAGGAGAGTCCACAATCTTACACAATCGAGAGTCCCTTACACCATCGAACAGCTCTTACCATCAGAAAGTTCTTCCTAAGTCGGAATCTCCTTTTTAATAATTTGAATCCATTGCTTCAGGTCTTCTCTCCTGGAGCAGAAGAAAATAAGCTTGCTCCATTTCCCCATGTGACAGCCCTTCAGATATTTAAGTCTCCTCTTCTCCCGGCTAAACGTACCCAGCTCCTTCAACCGTTCCTCATAAGGCTTGGCTTCTAGACCCTTGATCATCTTGGTTGCCCTCCTCGGCACACCTGCCAGCTTGTCAATATCCTCCTTAAATTGTGGTGTCCAGAACTGGACACAGGATTCCAGGATCTGACCAAGGCAGAATAGAGTGGTACTATGACGTCCATGATGCTTCTGTTGATGCAGTCTAGAATCATATCATGGCCTGATCCAGCAAGACTCTTCTTATTCTCTTAATTTGTACTACAACAGGACATTTATTGTTCAGAAGTGGACTAGCATTGCTGAGCCTTCACACTTCAGGCGGGTTCCCTGGTCTAGGACGCCAGTGCAGCTGTCCCCAAGCCCAGCTGCATCTCTCGAGGGAGAGGGAGCTGTATTTGAAGCTGGTCACGTCAACCACACTCCAAGCAAGGGTTAAATGGGAGATAAAGAAGAGACCTCCATCTCTCTCCTCCCCCCCCCGTCCCTCTGTTGACAGCCGTTTAGTGCTGCTGGAAAGGGGGGTGGGCGCAGAAGAGGAGCAGGCAATTGAGACGTGGGAACATTAGCCGCATCGAGCGGGTGACCCGTGACGGCATGGCGGAGGCCTTCCTTTTGTCCCGCTCTGCCAAATATTTCTTTCGGGATTGAAATGCCCAGGAAACGTACTCCCAAATGATCGCTGTTGAGAATAGGATGGGCTGAGGGGGAAAGGAAGGCATTGTAGGTGGAGAGCAAATTACCCGGGCAATTCATCGCCAATTTCAAGGATGTGCTGCAGGGATAATATATTCTGAGTGGTGAGAAATTTCGTTTAATTCTCTCTCTCTCTCTCTCTCCTCTCTCTGGAGTGTCTTCTCCACTATTTTGATTCACACCCTCTTCCACCTCGCTCCCTCCCCATCTTACCTTCTTCTCCTTGACTGACTTGTAGCCTGGCCTGCCTGCGGATGTACGCCGAGAGCCAAAAGGAACGGCTACCCAAAACCCTCCTCTACAAATGTCAACGTCTAATCCTCCTCCAGATATTGCCAGCATGCCGAATATTCTTCACAAGGTTGGCACTTCCTAGGCGACATCCATTTCAGCTAGAAGCCAGGGTGATGGAGGCACGGTGGTGTCGTGGTGACAGTGTCAGAGTGGGACCTGGGAGAGACCAGGGTTCAGAGCCCTACTCAGCCATGAAGCTTTCACAGGGTGACTGTGGGCAAGTTGCTACGTCTCAGCCGAACCTTCCTTTCAGAGTTGTTGTGGGGATGAAACGAGGAGAGGGAGAACCATGTACATCTATAACCACCTTTGCTCTCTGGTGGCCTCCAACTTCTCCCATAGCATGCAGGTTGCCCCAGTGAGGAGAAGAAGAAGAAGAAGAAGAAGAAGAAGAAGAAGAAGAAGAAGAAGAAGAAGAAGAGTTGTTTGGATTTGATATCCCGCTTTATCACTCCCCTTCAGGAGTCTCAAAGTGGCTAACATTCTCCTTTCCCTTCCTCCCCCACAACAAACACTCTGTGAGGTGAGTGGGGCTGAGAGACTTCAGAGAGGTGTGACTGGCCCAAGGTCACCCAGCAGCTGCATGTGGAGGAGCGGGAAACCAAACCCGGTTCACCAGATTACGAGTCCACCGCTCTTAACCACTACACCACACTCGCTCTCTAAGTTGTTGTGAATAAGATGTTGTGGAATTTCACTTCTCTGACGGAACCTGCAATGTCAACATCCTATCGCAATATCTCAAGGTCTGCCTCTCCCCATGTGATCATCCTCTAAGGCCCTTCTTCATGTGTCTCCTCCATGAGACCCAGAGGACAGCAATACAATAATGGCCTTTTTCTGCAGTGGCTCCCCATTTGTTTGGGTGAACACCCCAGAGAACACCCACCTCATTACATAACTTTAGGCATCTGGTGACAGTGTTCATCTTCTCCTAGGCCTTCAGCTGATTGAACAATCTTTGGCCTTTTAAGCTGTGTATGTAATTGGGGGCCGTTGTTTCATTTGTTGTTACATTGTGTGTTTTTGTGTTTGTATACTGTAAAAGAGAAGAGTCCCTGGAGAAGACCCTGATGTTGGGAAAGATGGAGGGCACAAGGAGAAGGGGACGACAGAGGACGAGATGGTGGGACAGTGTTCTCGAAGCTACCAGCATGAGTTTGACCAAACTGCGGGAGGCAGTGGAAGACAGGAGTGCCTGGCGTGCTCTGGTCCAGGGGGCCACGAAGAGTTGGACACGACTAAACGACTAAACAACAACATGCTGTAAAACACCCTCTGAGCCTTGAATGGAGGGTGTGTAGAAATTCAACAAATAAGTAAATACAGTGGTACCTCGGTTTACAAACTTAATCCGTTCCAGAAGTCCGTACTTAAACCAAACATTCTTAAACCGAGGTGCGGTTTCCCTAATGAGGCCTCCCACTGCCAGTGCCCTCCCACTGTTCAGATTCCATTCTTAGACCAAGGTAAAGTTCTCAAACCGGGACACTATTTCCAGTTTTGCAGAGTTTGTAAACCGAATCGTTCTGAAGCCGGACTGTTCTTAAACTGAGGTACCGCTGTAAATCACATTGTTGACACACACCTTGCCCTTGAAAAAAGAAAACCCTTTTATGAATGCTTATGAACCTTCCATCACATCAGAATAGTGCAGGAGCTGTTCACCAACAACAGATGGATTGTTGGCCACCTTGCATGTTAGCGGTTAGGTATCCCGGTGTGTTGCTTCATGCTTGTTGCCAAATATGCTAAATGTATTGTGACTCTGTGAAAGTAACTGAGTATTTGGATAACACCTAAGAACATAGACCTATTCAAAAATAATTATGAACCGACGTGGAGGGAAATAAAAAAAGACCTGGAAATCTGGGGAAGGTTGAGACTGTCATTTTGGGGGAGGATTAACACAATCAAGATGAACGTTCTACCCAGGTTGATGTTTTTGTTTCAAACTATCCCTATAATTAAAGGAAGTCGAATTTTTAAAGAGTGGCAACGAGTGCTCTCGAGATACATCTGGCAGGGAAAGAAACCTAGGACTCAGTTTAAATTATTAACAGATATAAAAGAAAGGGGAGGTTTCGCCTTGCCGGATGTGAAGTTATACTATGAGGCGGTCTGCCTATGTTGGGTTAAGGATTGGGTAAAGTTAGAGAATAGGGAGCTACTGGATTTGGAGGGTCACGACAATAACTTTGGCTGGCATGCCTATTTGTGGCGGGATAAATGGAGGATTCACAGGGGATTTGGAAACCATATTTTTAGAGGACCATTAATTGAAATCTGGGAAAAATATAAAAATTTGCTAGAACCAAAAACGCCACATTGGCTGTCACCTCTGGAAGTAATGTGTGTAAAGAATATAAATATGAGAAGTAACTGGGCAAGATATAATCAGCTAATAATTAAAGAAGACGGTAAATGGAAGGTTCGACCATACGAGCAGGTTAAAGAGTATGTTTATGACTGGTTACACCATCTCCAGGTGAACCAGATGTTTAGAAAAGATCTTAAAGAAAGAGGTTATGAAGAGAGGGAATCCAAGTTTCAGACGGAGATTATAAACAAAGAAGAGAAAATTGTATCGAAAATGTATAGGATACTGTTAGACTGGAGTCTAGGAGATGAGGAGGTCAAATGTGTGATGATTCGCTGGGCACAAGACGTAGGGCACAGTATACTATTTGAAGACTGGGAGAGACTTTGGAAAGAAGGATTAAATTTTACGGCATGTACAATGATAAAGGAGAACGTACTGAAGATGTTCTATAGATGGTATTTAACACCTATGAAACTATCAAAGATGTACAAGGTGGATAACAAGTGCTGGAAATGTAGGGTTAGTGAGGGCTCTTTCCACCACATGTGGTGGGAGTGCGGAAAAGTGAAGCAGTTCTGGGAGAAAATTTATATAGAATTAAAGAAGATCTTAAAATACACATTCTCAAAGAAGGCAGAACTCTTCTTATTAGGCATGTTAGGCCATGAGATAAAAAAAGAAGATTGTAAATTAGTGTACTATGCAGTTACAGCAGCAAGAGTAATGCTGGCCCAGATGTGGAAAAGACAGGAAACACCAACGGTAGAGGAGTGGAGATTTAAACTACTAGATTATATGGAAATGGACAGACTTACAGGCAAAGTAAGATATACAAGAGCCCAAAAATTTACCAAGGACTGGGGTAAATATGTAGATTATCTGGAACTTATCAGTCAAAGGAAAATAACGCTAAAGGGATTTAGAGATGCACTGTAATCGAGTATGGGTTATTGTTTGAACTTAATGGGAGTACAAATAAGGTATAAGAACAGTATATATTAAGAAATATATATAAAAAAGCATAATGACAATATATACTAGGAAATGTGTAACTTAAAGTATCACTTCGAATGATTGTCGGGAAAGCTAAAGGAAGTCCTGAAAGCGATAATCCAACAAGGAGTAAATGTGAAAATTAAGTTTCTGTATATATATTTCCTATTTTTATTTTTTCTTTCTCTATAGGTGTATGATTGTGTAGTCTTATTTTTATGTGTTTATGTGTGTGTATATATGTTTTTTGGCTACTTTTCTTTTTGAAGTAAGCAATAAAAATTAAATGGGGAAAAAAAGAAACTCTTTTTCTCTGCAACCACCTTTGCTCTTTCTGTAGCTAAGAATAGGCCGCATTTCCATTCCGCTTGGCTAGGAGGTACCCGCAAGCTCACATGTTCTTTACTTCTTAGAAAGAAAAGAAAAGACTTCTCTCATGAATAGCTAATTACCTACCTGTTTCTGATCTCAAATTCAAATTCAGAAACTCACTGAACTGAGAGGGATTAGTGAGGCATCAATATTGGAATCCCAAGCAAAGCCATGATGGGCGGAGGGTTCCTTGCCCCCCAATTTGAAAGCCCGTGAAATGTGGACGCGAGATTGGCTGCTTGAATGGATGCCAGCAATTCTTCCACACCTTGGGTTTTGCTTAAAGTAAAATGTCCGGGTGAATTTGAAGGATCCTACCCGGGTAGAGCAGTCAAGGTGTTTTGAGGGATACCCCATAGGTTTTAATAAGCAGCAACCAAATTTCTTGATGTGGATGGGTGGAGGGAAGAATTTGCATTTCCTGACCTGAGAACCGCATGTTGAGATGTGCTAGGAGTATTGGCTGTTGGTGCAATTTGGGGAAATGGGTGAGATTACACTAAGCGCTTGGTCCACAACTTCAGCAGCCCTCCCCAACATCTGGATTCTGTTTTGAGTTAGCACACCAGCTGCACAGTCCAAGGCTAAATGCCTGGAACAGGACTCACTCCCCTCCCTTTCAGTGCAAGCTATCAGTGGAGAAGCTGGAGGTTACATGCTGTATGGTTCAGAATAGCATGGAGCTACTATGGTCAAGTGCAAGTGGATCTCTCCATATACCTGTGTTTGTACAAGGTTAATAATAATAATAATAATAATAATAATAATAATAATAATAAATATTTATACCCCGCCCATCTGGCTGGGTTTCCCCAGCCACTCTGGGTGGCTTCCAACCAAATATTAAAAACAATACAGCACCAGACATTAAAAACTTCCCTGAACAGGGCCGCCTTCAGTTGTCTTTTAAAAGTAAAATAGTTGTTTATTGCCTTGACATCTGCTGGGAGGGCGTTCCACAGGAGGCAGTGGTGGCCTCCAAGATAATTCATGGAGGAGAGGACTATTGCTGCCCACAAGCCATGATGGCTCTGCTCAGCTAGAGGCAGCAATGCTTCTGAATACCCATTACTGAAAACCACTGGAGGGGAGAATGCTGCTCTTGTGTTCAAAACCTGCTTGTGGATTTTCCACAGACTTCTGGTTGGCCACAGTGAGAACAGGATGCTAGGCTGAATGGACCAGCTCTTATGCTCTTAATGCCTCACACTTTCCTGGAAGGAGGAGGGAGAGATCTGTGGTGTTTGTGTCAGGAGTTCAGCCTACACTCGAGTAGGACTCTGGCAGAAACACATCCTTGACTGGCATGTTCTCTCCCTCCTGGTCGATCGTTCGGGAGCTTCATAAGCTTTCTTCAGCCTGAACATCACAGTGACCGATGCCAACCGACACCGGCACACTTAGAGATCCGCAGAGTTTGCGCACCTTATGTGACAGAACTCAGCATTTTGGCTAATCTACTTTATTTACATATAAACACACACGGAGCACTGCAACATGTCTCCCTCTCTCTCTAGCATCAAAGAGAAAAAACAAAGGACAATAGTCCCACTTCTCGGAACATAGTAACACAAACATCCTCTCTCCGTCACTTCCCACTCTGTGGTGTCAAAACATATACCGTCATGTGAAAGACAACAATCCCATGACTGCAATCATGGAGCAGGAATTCTAACAGTTTGTGTGTCTCGGTAG